TTTTTTTATATATATAAAAGACTGTTTTTCTAAGTAATCTAGAATCTAGCTGCAAGGACCCGCTTCGCTGGGTTTTTAAAAAGTAACGATAGTGAAGATTAACATAATTACATTATAAATTGTACATATATATATATATATATATAATCATAATCAGTTTATTATTTATTTATTTATGTAAGGGAACTTAACATATAAATTATTCATTATTTGATTCTTAACTTTATATCTATGATTTATATAATATTTATACCACTTACTGCATTCTTTGGGTAATCATTTAATAAATATTTTTTAAAGAGTTGTCTTGTTTCTATTTCTATATCTTCTTGTAGCATTGTTCTATTTAATATTTTATTTAATTCCATTATAAATACGTTCTTCTTTGTTTCTATTGGGCAATGTGAATTGTAATTAACAGTTATCTTTGTATTGCATAATTTTCCGTTTCTACGGAACAAAATTTGGGTATCTTCTCTTTTTATAATAACATCTAAAAAATTCATTTCTTGATTTTGTTCTTCCTCTCTTGTAAACTTTAAATTCTTATCCAACTTATTTGCATATTCTTCAATGTCTTGGGGTGAAATTATTTGTGAATCATATATAATCAGTATNTGATTGCTGTATTAGGAAAGAATTGACTTTTTAATATTTTGTTATATTCCTATAAGTACAGGTATGTATAAATTTAAAAAGAGAGAGAGAGAGATAATCTTCTCTTTTTATAATAACATCTAAAAAATTCATTTCTTGATTTTTGTTCTTCCTCTCTTGTAAACTTTAAATTCTTATCCAACTTATTTAAAGGTAACAAAGAAAGCCCCACATCTGCACTGAATATCTGTGCTGATTTCGTAGAACTGCAACATTTTAGAAGTAAAAAACAGACTATACTTGATGCATTTTTGCAAAACTAAAATTGTAAAATTTATCATGAAAAGTAAGTGTTATTTTTTCTGCACAATTTATAGTATGAATATTTTCTGTATTTTGCTTTAATAAAGCCAATTATCATTTTATTTTTACTTATTTATTTACATATTATATATTTTTTTTTAGAAATTATTAAAATTTGTAAATTCTAAAAATAAATAAGATTATTTCCAGATTAAAAACAAGGAATCCGAACATTTACTAACAGATCCCTTAAAAGAAATACAAAATAGTCTTACTAAATTAATGAAGAAATACAAGAATGAATTTTCAAGCCAACAGGTAAAGAATATATTAGACTTTAATAATGTAAGAGAACCAAAATTAAATTTAAGACTCACAAACCAGGAAACACTTGTAGACCTTTAGTGGATTTTAAGAAATCTATTTTATATAATCTTGAATGTTATTTAAAAACTTACTTACAGAAAATTGATAAATCAGTTTCAAATCAGCATACAAAATACAGATGAATTGATCAATGGATTATTAAAAGATAAAATTAAGCAAAATTTTCGTATTATGAGTCTTGATGTTAAATCAATGTATCCATCTATTACTTTAGAAATGATTAAAGAAACTATAAAATGCCTGAGCACATATTAAATCTTATAGAATTTGTATTTAATTAGAGATTATTTTAAAATCTCTACAGATTATTATTGACAAAGGAAAGGAATTGCTAAGGGATTGGTTGACATTTATATGATACCAATAGATGAAAAGATATCACAGGTTCAAGGAATTCAATATTATGCACAATATGTAGATGATATACTGATTATATATGATTCACAAATAATTTCACCCCAAGACATTGAAGAATATGCAAATAAGTTGGATAAGAATTTAAAGTTTACAAGAGAGGAAGAACAAAATCAAGAAATGAATTTTTTAGATGTTATTATAAAAAGAGAAGATACCCAAATTTTGTTCCGTAGAAACGGAAAATTATGCAATACAAAGATAACTGTTAATTACAATTCACATTGCCCAATAGAAACAAAGAAGAACGTATTTATAATGGAATTAAATAAAATATTAAATAGAACAATGCTACAAGAAGATATAGAAATAGAAACAAGACAACTCTTTAAAAAATATTTATTAAATGATTACCCAAAGAATGCAGTATGTGGTATAAATATTATATAAATCATAGATATAAAGTTAAGAATCAAATAATGAATAATTTATATGTTAAGTTCCCTTACATAAATAATTTATTTGAAAAATATAAACCAGTTTTTAAGAAATTTTCTGTATATAGTGCAAAACAAAAAAATATGATGATGAATGTAATTAATGTTATAAATAACGAAGACCCAAATATATCAAAAAACCAACTCAGAGTTGCAGGTGTCATTTACAAGCTTTCGTGTACTTGTCCAGACCAAAACATTACATAGGAGAAACAGGAAGAAAGTTAGAGACATGGTTAAAAGAACATGAAGCTGCTATTAAGTTAAAAAGACAAGAATTGCTGTGGTGTCTACATTATAATAAATTTAATTGTAAAATAGACAGGAATAATGTTAAAATATTATATAAAGTAAAAAATTGTTTTAAAAAAAGAATCATAGAACATTTTTGTATTGTAGCATATGCAAATATGATAACTCTGATACCGGAATGAATGTAGATGCATGCTGGGAAAAAAAATCACCCAGCATAAAAATAACAGCAGTTGTTAGTTCATTATGTCCACTGATGAGGCTTTACTGTAAGCAAAATGCATTTGGATTTTGTGAACTCATTGAAAATGGAGTTATTAAAGTTCAGTATTTCTTCATAATTTGTTTGCTTAACTGAATCACTCTAAGTTGGATAAGAAAGAATAATTTTACTTGTTTTTAATCTGGAAATAATCTTATTTATTTTTAGAATTTACAAATTTTAAGAATATTACCAATACCATTGTTTAAATTTTACGAATATATTTAGAAATTATTATTAGTTTGTTTAATTGGGCATGGATTAGTCCGAATGTGTCCCAATTAAGCGGAATACACTGTATATATCAATTTATTGATATATATCTGATTTAGCACCTCCAGATTTTTCTTTGAGAACACTCAAAGAAGAATAAAGTGTATAAAGACAATCTCTTGATCTAGAGGCACTGAAGAGGAACATTACCAAATGTACAGAAAAAATAGTACCCCACACACTCCATTGCATGTTACAGAATATGTGCTGCCATGTAAACCTGTCTCTCCAAAAAAAGAGGAGGATACTTCTAGCATCTTTTGTAATATGCTGATTTGTACATTACAGTCCAAGAAATAAAACACAAGTCTTAGTAAACTCATCAAGTTATTTACTTTTACAATAAAAATTTATTATATACTGACTGTTGTTGTTATTATATTGACTGTGGAGGTTGAGTCTGGGAACTTAAAAATCATCCTGTATTAG